ATGAAATGTCTAGGAGCCGGCCCGGCTACGCAGTCCTGTAAATCCCAGCGCTGAGGTCGCAAGTTCGAGTCCATCCTGGGAGGATGGAACCTGAGCGAGACTATCTCGAAATTTAAAAATAAATGTTAAAGGGCGGGAGATGTAGCCTAGTAGCAGAGCGCCCATTGGTTCAATGGCCAGTAACAGGGGGAAGTCTACTTCCAACTGGATCAATCTAGCAGCTCGTCTGGAGCCTGGCCGCCTCTCTCACCTCACCTTCCCCAGCTTTGCCCAGACTGACGCTGAGAAAATATTTCTTAAATGAACGCGTTGCTTTTTGAGCCTTCTGCGCTAAGCTCTGAACTTTTCCAGAACAGGGACATGGCTGACTCCATCTTCCGTCATCAGGGCCCTACCGAAGAAGTGGTTCCTGCCCTGGATAATGTCACAGGTGTGCTGGGGATGTCAAACATTCACTGTGGCGCATGGAGCCACGCGCTGGGGAGAAGCCAAATTTTTCTGTCAGTTCCACAGGTTTTTATGGCGTGTCTGTGTGCCCCAGTACTGTGGAGGGAGGCTGAAGGGACACTAAAGGTAGTTCAAATACAATCTCTCCAGCTCTCCATTTTAGAGACAAGGAAGCAGACCCAGGAAGGGACCTTTAGGTCCACTACAGTCGGACCACACCAGCACCCCAGCTCCTGAAGACCTTTTGAAGGAGACACCGCTGGCCTGCGGCCTGTGTGTGGGGCCAGATATGGAGGGAGGACAGCTGCCCTGCCCGAGGAACCCATGCCTTGTGGTGCGGTGACCTGTCCCTCCCACCTTCCTAGATCCTCTGAGTATCATCTTTAGCTGAGGTAATCTATTTTCCCCAAACTATTTTTATATATTATTTTAGCTAATATGACTTGATAATCTGTTTTAAATATCTTTTTGCATATTCTTCACCATATGTCTTTTACTATATTTGCTTTGTATTGTCTTATCCTGTGTAGTTGTTTCCTACTTAATTTGGCTTTTCAAAAGTGCTTCTAATTATAAAAGTAATTTTTTTTCATTTTGTGAGAAAGGGTAAGTTTGTGTCTTCTTAGAAAAGATTTTTTTTTTAAACAAGCTAAAAATATACACCAAACGTAACAATAGTTGTGCTAGGGTGCCCGGCTGGTTTGTTTGTGTTATGGTTCTTTTGTAGTGTTTTTTTCTAAGCCAAATAGCATACATTACTATTATGATAAATAGGATATATTTTAAAAGGAAGATAAATATGATTCTTACAAAATAGATACTATCAAAAGAAGAAAGTAAAATAACTCGAGACAAACTGTTCCTATTTTGTGTGTGTGTTTGTGTGTGTGTGTGTGTGTGTGTGTGTGTGTGTGTGTGTGTGTGAGTGAGTGTATGGGAATGATGTTTTAGTCCAGCCTGGCTGCTGTGGTAATTCCACATCTGGTGAGAGCCTGCTTCCTGGTGTGTAGATAACTTCTTTTACTGATTCTTCACAAGACAGGAAGGTACAAGGGAGACCCCAGGGACAGCCTTTATAAGAACACCCGTCTCATTCACAAGGGTTCCACCTTCATGACTGATGCTTCACAGATGGTGCATTTCCAAATACCTCACAATGATGTATTGAATTTGGGGTCTGTGGTATATGTGTATTTGTGTGATAGTTAATTTTAATGTATTCAGTTTGACTGGGCCTCGGGGTTCCCAGATATTTGGTCCAACATTATTCTGGCTGTGTCTACGAAAGTGTTGCTGAATGAGATTAACATTTGACTCCGTAAAGTGGGCGTGGTGGTGCACATACTTGGGAGGCTGAGGCAGGAGAATCACCAGGAGTTTGCCTATTGCTATTTGTGGCTAGAAATAGCTTTCGTTACCGTCTGGCTTGGGTGTCCAGCTGGCAAAGCCCGGCTGCAGAAGGAGCAGGGTGGCCTGGGGGTGGGGCACGCAGAGGTCACCCAGGAGGAAGCCTGCTGAACAGGGATTTGGTTTTCTAGCAGAATTTCAGGTCTTCTGATTTAAGAAGCATCTATGGACCCTTCAGTCCGCAGGCAAGTTTTTGTATAGTCATGTTCTTCTCATGCAAATTGTATAATTAGAAACTCTCAGGTTTCTGCTACTATGTTAATGCAAAATCTTTCTTTAGATAAGAAGGGATATCATGGTAAATTGCAGATGTTTAAATCACACCTAACAGCATAAATGTTTTCTGTGCTTTTGTCAGCAAGGGTCAGCACGGATGTTCTTTTACTGAACATGGGGTGGTGCCAGATGCCAGAGTTTCTCATAAAATTCAGGCGAGCCCAGTGATCCTTACTGTGTGTGTTGGGCAAGTTCAGTGCCCAGATTTTTTGATGGAGCAGTTTGGAATCCTGGTTGTTGTTGGCGTCTGGAGTATTGGGTTGATAAATATTTTATTTTAATCTGTACCACACATGCCTACAAAAGTCATGCATTGATTCAAACACTCAAAATCAGCTTGTTCTGCAGATAGGCTACTCCTGCCAAGGGTTGCTGGGCCTGCACTGTGCCTGTAAGGCTGATTGGAACTGTTTTGCTTTTCTATTCAGCTAACATCTTAAAGCAAGTTTTGTTTGTTTGTTTGTTTGTTTTTAGCTGTAGCTCAGGAATTACAAGGGGGTACATGGCTGAATTTCTACAATTATATACAAAATTATGTCCCTTTCTGTTATAGAGAGGTTTGAGCAGATTCTCAACAAGAACATGACCAATAGAAGGTTAAAAAGCATTCTGAAGGAAATTGCTAATTAAAACACAGGAATGCTTCTCCTGTATAAAGACTAAGCAAACATCTTTTTTTTAAAACTGCTACTTCATGGTACAGAGGTGCAGTAGTCCGCTCAATATGTTCGTTGTGGATAGCAATCTGTTACTTCATTAAACCTGCCTGACTTTCATACTTTATAAAATGACAATTTATTCTTGGTGTTTCTTTCTTCCCAAATTCTGCTTCTGTTAAGAAAGTGAAAGAGTGTAGGCGCTGAGGAGAAGCATAATGAGAAGTGTGTGTGTGAACTGTGGGCTGCTTGGGCACCAGGCACGTGGACGAGTCTGTGTTTGTGTGTTCAAAGGGCAAATGTGCGTGAACAAAAGCAAATGTGGGCACGTGTGTGTCCTGGAACCCGTATGCCTGGGCTTTCACCTTGTCCTCGTCGGCGTCTTCTCCAGAGGTTGCTGGCTGATTCACTTTCCAGCCAATAGCTGGAAGGTTTTCTCATGACAGTTTGGTGGGGGATACAGAATTCTGGTTCTTTTTCTTTTGGAAATGTAGGTGCGATTTTCCTGTGGGTGTATGATTTAGCAAAAACCTGGGTTTGGATGCAAGCTCTTCACCCACTGGCTGTGTGGGCAGCACCCAGCCCAGGGCTAGGTGCGAAGTGGGTGTGGAGATCCTTGTCGGATGGACAAGCCCCTTGCCCTCATGAGAACTCAGTTTTGCTATCCTAGAATCCGGAGTGCCAATCTCTGCCTTGGGCCCCTGAAAGCTCCTGCTGTGGAAGAGCCGGAACCTGAAGCTGTTTCTGCCCAATTGCAAGGCTGTCGTGTTTTGGTGCCTTTTCCCATCCTCAGCTGCTCTCAGGAGACAGATGTTCTCACAACAGACACAGATGATCCCACACTGCTGCAGCCACCATGGGCTGTGCCTGCCTGGTCCTCAGCTTTCATGGGGGACCAGGCAGGAGGCTTCTCAACTGGCCCAGGTGGGAGATGCCTATTCTAGTAATGGTAACAATGTGTAGCAAGACCAATATGAGCAGCAGGTAACATTTGCTAGGGATTTGCTTTGAGCCATGTGTTCTGCTAAGCATTTTACACACTAATTTCATTGAAAGGCCAATCTTGTGAGCTAGACACTGTATGGCCCACAGAAGTGAAGCCTAGGGAGGTGACTTCCCTGAAGCCATGCTGCTAGGATGCAGCAAAGACAGAACACAAAGGCAGGACCATGTAGATCCCAAGGACAGCAATGGGGAGTGGTATCTAGAGGATCAAGACATGGAGGCAGAATCAGCAGAAGTAATCACTCATTAGATCAGGTGTTATGAAAGATCAGTGAAACCAGGCTCTACTTTGGGGCCAGAGGACGTGGGCATCACATTATTTTTAATGGACAATAGGAATGTTATGGGCCTCATGGGGGATACCATGGCTGCACATAGACGAAGAAGTAGTAGGTGGGGAAGGACAGAGGACTCTCGGCAGAAAGAGCGAGCAGAGCCAAGGCCCAGGGTAGAACCATACGGAAGACACAGGAGGGGTCAGAGGGACAAAAGCTGCCCCCTAGAGATGCTGTGGCTGCCTGGGGAGTGTGGAGGGGGGAATTGTCCAAGGGAGACCTCCAAAGGCAGGCTGCATGGACTCAGCACTTCTGCCTGGGTGGCACAGCACAGTGCTTGGCCATATGTTTGGCAGAGACACTGCAAGGACAGTCACATGATACGTAGGCAGCAGACCAGGAACAGGTGTTTTTGAGGAAAACTTTTGACCACAGGGTGGCAATGGGTGTGATCTTGGAGCCACAGAGAGAAGCAGTGTGACTTCAGCTGATGTGAACAGAGCTCGTGCTATAAGGAGGGAGCTGTCTCCTGGGTCCCAGGAGAGGAAAGGTGGTGTTTCTGAGAAAATGTGCCCCAGCCCAGTTGGAGTAATAATCACCTGTTTGCCCACCTGGGGCCTCCTCAGGAACGGAGACTGTGTCCCAGATTCATTATGCCCCCAACACCTAGCGCCACCCATGCCCTTAACCCACACCTCACCAGCCCTGTGAACAGTTGGTGCTGGAGCAGTGAGTGATGCCCGGAGCCACAGCCCAGTATACAGGGACCAGCCAGAGTCACAGGGCTCCTCAGTTTCCCCAGGTGACCTTTGTGCAAAGGCAGACATCCCATGTCATTAGCCACTAGCTTTGTGATGTTGCCTCAGAAGCTACCTTCCTTCATCCCATCTCCCCAGCCAGGTCCCATGGATGGTCCAGGCAGGTGTGGGCCAGGGCACAGTGGAGCTGGCACCCTGCAGACCAAGCCTGCATGATGAAAGTGTTCTGGAATTGGATAGTGGTAATAAATATACAACTCTGTGAATGCACTAAAAACTACTAAACTGAATATTTGAAAAAAGTGAATTTTAAAACCTGTGGCACTTACCTGTAATCCCAGCACTTTGGGAAGCTGAGGCAGCAGGATTGCAAATTCAAGCCCAACCTGGGCAATATAGCAACTTAGTGAGATTCTGTCTCAAAATGAATAAAAAGGATCAGAGGTGTAACAGCGCAAAGGCCCTGAGATCAATCCTCAGTAATGAAAAAAAGAAGCGTGAACTTTAAATAAACTTCTTTTTTCTTTTTTTGAGACAGTCTCTTTAAGTAGTTTAGGCTGGTCTTGAACTCACTAAGTAGCCCAGACTGGCCTTGAACTAGGTGATCCTCCTGTGTCAGCTGGGATTACAGGCATGCACCACCACCACCACGCCCAGCAGTAAATTATATCATTTTTGCGGGGAGGGTACCAGGGATTGAACTCGGGACTTTGCATTTGCGAGCCAGGTGGCAGAACCACTGAGCTAAAACCCCGGCCCCTAGTAAATCATATCTTAATAAAGCTATTATTTTATAAAGTGTAAAATAGTTGGAAAAATGTACTTTTTGGCAAATCATAAATATTTACATTTGAAAACAAAATAATTTCATAACCTCTTTTAATTTATTCAAGAACCAATACTGTAACAATGTGATACCTATCCTTCATCTAATATTTTAAAAATGTAAAAACAAACTCATATAATGTTAGAAATTTTATGTTACTCTTTTTTTCTCCTTGAACTTGTTTTTCCA